AGTTTTACACAATGCTGAAAAACTAACATAAATCAAATGACACTTTGAAAGAAGGTCAATGTTACTTAACTTTAAGTCACATATATAAAGTTGCACCATTTCTTCTTTTTATCATCCTGGGTACTACTAAAAGGTCGCTCTATTGGATCATTATGGACCAATGACATCTTAAAAAAACTTTATTAATAATGGTGAAGAGCAGGGTTATTTGAGAAAATAAATCAAACGCAGAGAGGAGTGTAGCGTTCTTAATAATATTACCAAATAAATATGGTGTTTTCTCTTTAGATCAGGCGCGTTTTGGATCGAATCTCAGAAAAGCTTTTAAACTTATATGGGGTAATGTGAAAATATGGCATTTTGTCTCCCAACCACTGCTTTATCTTTGTATTCTCTGTGATGTAGAGCCTAAATCCTTGGGATTACTTTGGACAGTGAAATGCATCTCCGCGTAGATTCTACCCTTTTCTATTTGATCATCAAATATACGGACATGTGGATGTTCGATGGTTGCCTAGATTCTATCACCCTATTTAACATAAGTTAAATATGTCAATAATATATCAAAATAAGAACGGTGTTTCATTTATTTTAGAGATTTGATTAAGAATAGTGTTAAATCTCAATTAATATATCCGGTGTCTTAATAAAAAAAATCAATGAATGCAGATTCAATATTATGGTTAATCATTTGTTGTTAACCACAAAATCACAAATTCTTTTTTTCTCTTTTTTTTCCAGGAGCAAACCACACGTGGTGGAGGAAGTGCCGGGGAACACAAATTAAATACCACAAATTCAAATGGACTCTTCTTTTGTTCTTTCTAGCTTCAAATTTTCACATCTTTCAAGTGCATGCTTAAATACATAACCAAATATCAAAGAGCTAATTGCCGGTTAGAAGATGGATGAAAAACTTAAGGAAAAAAATCAATGAATGCGGATTTAACCAATTCCAAAAAACATCCATTCTTATAAAGCTTATTAACAAACATATGAATGTTCAAAATTACCTGATTGTCTTCAAGTGAAAGCTCAACAAACGGGGTGCCTTTATCTGTATCTGAGTAAGGCACGATCCACTTTTGTACCACATGCACAACAGTAGCTTTAGTTTTATCAACTTTCATCATGAGTTTAGACAAGGGAAGCTTTACTGGAGGCATTTTTATTTGCAATGGAATGGAAAATAGATTAAAAAATTGTGCGTTTCAGATTAGTGTGAAAGAATTTTAAATAGCCAACATAAAAAGAAACCTAAAAAGTAGAGATCATTCACCTTATAGCAAACGAGTCCTTGTAGGAGTCGTTTTTCAGTCACTTGTAAATAATTTTTTTAATAATAATTTCAGAAACTAAATAATTAAGCTAAAAAGGAAACTAATAATCCAACCTTTTAGCGGTCTTCTTTCAATAATCCCACTTTTTGATTATTCATGAATAATCCAACCTTTGCACCTCATCTTCATTCACTGGTCCCTGACCGGTTGATGACCTGCTATTCCAAGCTATTTTCTTATCTTTGCAAATCATTATACCATAAATCTCATCTTTCACAAAGATTCTATTTTGAAAAGATAAGAAAATAACTTGGAATAGCAAGTCATTAACCGATCAGGGACCAACAAATGAAGATGGGGTGCAAAGGTTGGATTATTCATGAATAATCAAAAGGTGAGATTATTGAAAGAAGACCGCTAAAAGGTTGGATTATTAGTTTCCATTTTCCCAATAATTAAAACATAATAGCAAACATGATTAAATCATAGAATAATGAAATTGAAAAAATAGGATTGCATGATAGAAACAATTAATAAAATAAAAAAATTAATCAATAAAAATACGAACAATGCCTCATCAACAATGTGAAGGGGAGAGGGATGAGAAGCTGTATTTCGGTCCTCCTCTTCATCAATCCATTGGTCAACACTGACGACATCTATTTTTTCTTCAGCAATTGCCCCCCCCCCCCCATCAAATCAAATTGTTTGTAAGAAGGAGGGCATGCGATAGCCCTTATAGATGTAGGAAAGGGATTTTGCTAGACCTTAAAGCATTCGTGAGCTCCAAAGACGGGGTGGCTAGACCTAACTACTACCTAAGCGTCTCTAGTAGCTAGATCTGCTCTCTGCTCATAACTGATAGCTCAATGAAGGGGGATATGTTTTTTTTGAGGAGTTAAATTTCTAATAGGAGATGCTGATGAATGTTTCGTAAACTGATTTCCCATTAAGGCGGCTAAATGAATTCTGAACAGAAATAGCGAGCGAAATTCAAATGGAGAAAGCGGGAGATGCTTCTATGAGGGGGAGAGATGAGAATCAATTTGCTTCGTGTGAAGGGAGAGAGAAATGAGAAGTTGTATTTCTGCCCTCCTCTTCATTGATCCATTTGTTTGTCTAAAGGGGAGAGATGAGACTCATTTGCTCTATGTGAAGGGGAGAGGGAGAGAGATGAGAGAAGTGATGAATTCATTTGTTTATGTAAGGGGAAATAGAAAGTAGTTCTGCAAATGAAAGTAAGTGTAGATTTAATGAAGCCAATCATTCTATTTAAACTACATATTATGGTCTTTTTGGTTCATCCTGTTGCGCTATGATTCATATATGTGCTATCTATTGTGCCTAAATATGCATCAAAACGTAGTGTTTTTCAGTAATTTATTTAACTGACTTTAGATTGAATTTTAAACTAAAATTTTACGGACATAATCTACACTTTATAGAAAACATGATCATGAATTTTCATCAAAAAATTCACTCGGAAGCACCTCAAAACTTTTCACCAGAAATATTATTAGTTTAGAGCTGAAAAATCAGTCTACTCACACCTATTATAAAGAACAAATTTTATACATTTTTTGGGCCGAGGTCCCACTCCGTCTATGGCTGCCACTGACCACAATTAGGGTTTGCAGGTTTTTTTCCCTATCTCATTAAATTAGGGTTTGTGGGGCATTGAGCATGAGCATTGAACATGGTAATACATAATGTTGAATATAGGGAGTGAATATCACAATAGATAGTGTTAAATATGGTCAATGAGAATGACAATGGATAGTGTTGTACATGGACAATGAAAGAATGCACTGAGGAAGTGTGTTGTGCAATGAATCGAAGGCAATATATAGTACCACAACATAGGCGGGAAGTGCAATGATTATGACTAATAGTGCAGTAATGTAGCGCAATAATACCGACATGAAATGCAATATATTTAATTGAACTTAAATTACTAATTTAAAGTTATTAAATCTAAAAATAAATAATTCTTTTAAATAAATGTTTAACGTGAATGAGAAGATAATTAATGTTGGCGAGAAATGCGATAATTCTTACTGAATGTACAGTAATGTCATGCAGTAACTGCAATATAAAGCGCAATATTATTTGTTGGACCATATCAATGCAAAATGCACATTTTTTAAATAAGGTATTTTTATCATTCAACATTTAAATATAAATGATATTTTTTCTTTTATTTGCTTTTCAGTCATACGAATGCCTAAAAAAGCTATTCATATTTAGGAAAACTCAATATGTTTTAGTCATATCTCGGGAAATATCCCTTTTTTCCTCATTGGGTATTGTTATTTTACTTGGCAAAGCTTTTAATGAGTCAACATAATATGCATCATCTCACATTTTAATTTTGCAAAAGCAAACAATGTTGGAGAAAGAACATAATTAATACCACATATATTGCAATCAAAAGTAATTGACGCGTAATTATTAGAGCGCCATACTTTTATTTCCTTTGACCGATGTTTGTTTTTCCTATTGGATTTTGTTCATTAGCAAGGTTTTTTAACAAGTTAATAGCTTTTACACTTGGTACACAAGAAATGAATTAAAGGTAATATATTCCTCTATTTGTGTGGCTTCGTAATGATAATTAATGTAAAAAGGTATTGGAATCCATATACTTTCAAAATATCCTTGATTAATGTAAATTTGAGGTAGACTTGAGGGGGAGTCACCCACCGACACGACATTACACTCTTATCATATAGCAATAATTTTATGATTAACGATTAATGATTAATGAATAGAAAATCAAAGAATAGCAATAAAATTATGATTAACGATTAACAAATGAAATTTCAGTTTAATAAGTCTGATTTATTCGGTTCGGTTTCAAAATGTCAATACAGAAGTCAAACCTAACAATTACATTTCATTTTAGTTTTTGGGGAAATTACACTTGCAGTCCCTCAAATAGAACTCATTGAAATGTATACATTTCAAGTACGTAGTTCCCGGGTTTTTAAGTTTGTAAATGACATCCCTCAATTGTCTCAATTGCTGTAAATATGATCATTTGAGGGGTGATAATTATAATATGGGCAAAGCCCACATTTACAGCAATTCAGAAATTTGAGAGGTGACATTTACACGTTTATAAACATGAGAACTATATTTCAATGTTAACACTACTTGAGGGACTAGATGTGTGATTTCCCCTTAGGTTTTCACATGTGGTTCGATTTAGTTTGTTAGTGTTTTGATTTATTTTTATTTTGATTTTTCAAACTCAGCCGTAGGATTAGAGTCGATGTAATTTTATTTATTTATTTATTTATTTATTTATTTATTTATTTATTTATTTATTTATTTATTTATTTATTTATTTATTTATTGGTTATTTTAAAAGTAGCAAGAAAAACTTTATCCTTCCAAACTTTTGTTCTCTTCAGTAGCGGTTGCCCATGTTAATAATTTTTGTTAAAAGTTGATGTTGCCCACCATATTCTAGGTCTTTTCCGTGAGTTGATAAATAAATAAATAAATAAATAAATAAATAAATAAATAAATAAATAAATAAATAAATAAATAAATAAATAAATAAATAAATAAATAAATAAATAAAAAAATAAAAAATAAATAAATAAATAAATAAATAAATAAATAAATAAAATAAATAAATAAATAAATAAATAAATAAACAAATAAACAAATAAATAAATAAATAAATAAATAAATATCTCATTTACGTTTTTACTTAAATGTATCTTATATACCAGTATTGAGCTCTTTGTTGAGATTTTATACTTCGTATATCATAAAATGCTAAAATAAACGAGATTTCAATTTGTAAACCTTGCATAGCAAAATTGTCCTCATACCCCCAACATGGTACCAGTCTAGCACTGGTTGATAGTAATCAATCACTTGATTCTGGAACCGTGTTCATGCTTAGTTGTGACATGTAAAATGCGAAAAAAGTCCTAAAAAATCTTTCGGGAGAGAACGAAAAATTAGTATAGAATTGATGTATCATGTAAGAATGAGTTCAAAGTCCCCAATAATTTACGTTGTATAATTTTATAATTTCACACGAGTGCACGAACGTTTAACTGCGCCTAAAAAATTGCACTTTTTAAATCCATATTTAATATACAAAATATTTGAAGTCAATGATTTTTTTAAATTTATTACTAATTTCATGTACAATCACCCCTAGTTTAAGTGGGGATATCATTGAAAATGCATTCTTACAATAGAACAAGAAAAATTGACGAAGAAGCCCCCCATTAGGGAGACACATGTCATTATCCCCATATCTTAGAGCTTCATTATTAAATATATATTGCACACAAGTGGTATGAGAGAGATAAACACATATAATAATTAGAGAGTAGTACCTACTAGACTACTTACATGTTACGTCTCACTAACATTGAAATATGAAGAAGTGGTGTGCTTATTGAGGAAAAAAAAATTGGTGGTTGATATTAAATTCATAAAGTGATAATAATAAAGTAAAAAAGACATAAGTCATACAAACTTTATTTATCAAATTGGTATGAGGGTGTGAGACAATCTTGTAGATATTGCACCTGACATTATTGAGACAACGTTCCAAAATTGTATTTCCTCCGTTCCTTTTTTTAGTTGCAACATTCATTTTTTTCACGCTTGTCGATGCACAACTTTGACCGTCATTATATTTATTTCTCTATTAGTAAAAAACTTTTAAAAATCAGATTATGAAACTTTGTAATGAGATGAATTCAACAATATTTTAAAAAAATAATTCACATACATTAATAAATAAAATGTGATCAAAGTAGAGTACATGAATAGTGTGTAAATTCAAATGTTGCAACTATTATAATACGGAGGATAGTATATTATATCGTTAAAAGAAAGAGAAATGTCACATACAAAGTACTTAGTTTTGGTGTCTCTCATGTTATATGTGCAAAGCATTTCAAATCGTTTAGGAAATTAAAAGATAGAAAAGAAGGAATTTTTTCAATTCGGGACCCGCAAGATAGATTAATTATCAATTCAGGACTCGAAAGATCTATAAGTGAGGACTCTTGAAGGAGGACAAACTAGATTGGACCATGGTGGTGGACAGAGAACTTCTTTTTCCCTGCTTCGTCTATCGATCTGTCTGCGTCTATCCATGGTGGTGGACAGAGACTTCGTTCAATTAACCACCATTTTCTGGTGGAGAGGAATAGCTGATACGGAAGACAGATAGAAGAACGGCGGATTAGCCGAGCTCTGCTTCTAGCTTTGTTCAAATCCGAAGATGCTTTGTATTTTAGCTTTGGAATCCATGTAAATCCTTAACGATACAAGAGTTAAAAGAATCAGGACAGTTTGAGGACAGCCGAATTTTCGTAGATTCCATACAAAATTTTCGATGAAATTCTAAATTCCTTTAAAATCTTTAAGAATCCATATCGAGGACACTTCCCTAAGTGAATATTAATACTATCGCTTGTTTATGAGGCCGTTTGGAACCACTGGTTTTCGATTTATCAGGCTTATCAGCCAACTTTTTCACCAAACACGTGATTTTTGCTTTTGCGCGCTGAATTGTGTAATAAGTAGAAAAAGTAAGGTTGGAGTTACTTTTCTGGCTGTTTTGGCTGAAGTTATTGTAGAGGATCATTTTAGCTATTTTTACATATAATTTTTTCTTTATTTTATTAATGAAATATATTTTAAAAATATTTTTTTCTTAAATCAGCAGAATCAGCCAATACAACTACTTCAGCCAAAATTTCATAAATTTCAGCAGAATCAGCCAAATCAGCCGATTTTCGTGCTACCAAACGGGTTCTATATCTACTAGTAGACTTATGGAACACGCTAATGTGCTCAATAAGGAGAACGGGGACGTCATGAATGAGTAAGATTCATTTGTCTTAGTTGGAATACAAGCATATGTGCATCTGATATTATTATTACGGAGTATTTTATCAAATTTTGTACAGGGGCCTGACAAGTTCACATTTATAGGATAGTATTTTGTGGTTCTTTAAAATTTTTACTCCGTTTGGAACACTCGATTTGTCTATATCAGTTAATTCTACTCAAATTTATGAAGTTCTTATTAAAGTGTCTAAATTGGTTTATTTTGCTGAAATATGAAAACATATATTACATACTCCCTCCGGTTCTTAATGAACTTGACACTTTGACTTCACACATATTAAGGAAATAAATTTGACTTTACTGTAGAGTATACTGTTTGACACTATTTGACATTGTTTTACACCGTTTGGTATATATTTGCTGTAAGGCAAATAAGGAAGTGTAAAGTTTAATATGGTACATAAAAAAAGTGTAAAGTTCATTAAAAACTGGAGGGGGTGTTTACTAATATAATAAAGAAAATGTTATATGGAAAAATAACTAAAGCAGCTCTCTACAATAACTTCAATCATACTTATTTTGATTGAGACATAATTCATCATACGAAATCAAAAGTCACATGTTTAGTAAAAAAGTTGAATGGTTATTCTCATAAACAAAAACACGGTCTAGAGTGTCATACTCCTTGTCCCATTAGATTTTACTACATATCAACTTTTTTGTTAATTTTTTTACCATTATCCTAAGTCATTGTCTAGTCGTTCTGCTCATTCTTAGCTTCTCTCAACAAACTTCAATCATACCCCTATATAATATTTTCACTTTTCATATTTTATACTCCCCTTTAAATGTCCCGAAAGAGGGTGACACGAGTTTTAAGAAAAGTAAATTTGTGTTATTGATATTAATTGATAAAGTAAAAATGATTTTGACCACACAAACTTTTTTTTTATCATCAACTCCAACAAACTTTATTAACTCAAAAGGTCATTAGCTAGTTGGCTTTGAATACAAGTTTCAAGACCATTACATCAAACAAAGGAAGACACCAACTACTAGACTCCAACTATGACGACTGTAAACCCTATGAGCCACACAAACTTTACCAAACAAGGTATGAGACATTTAAATAAGGACATCTCAATGTGATAAAACGGAACATTTAAAAAGGGACGAAGGAAGTATCTATCTCTAATTTAACAATATCCATTGTGACGAAACAATATTTCATTTTGGGAAATTATGATTGTGTGATGATTAATTGATTATGTAGTTATATACACTACCCATTAGACCATTTGGAGTGGAAATGTTTTAGGAGTCAAAAAAGTTAAAAATGGAACTTTTGGACTCCTAAATGTGTGTAGTGGAGGATTGAGAGAGGTCTTAAAAGTGGGTAAGGGGTTGAGGGTCTTATTAATAGAGGGTGGATTGACTCTCAAATGACGATGTCATCCCTGTGTCATTAAACCTCAATTTTTTTAAAACTCTTATAACTTTTTTAATTGTATTCCGGGTTTTTCAAAAAACATATCAAAATTCATGAATTTTCGTGATATTTCGTATGACACCAATATGTAATATATAAAATAAAATAAAAAATCTCAACTTTTAAATACGTTGAAGTTTTTTTGAGTCCAAAAAAAACATGAATCACAAATTTTTAATTGAGCTAGTTTACTTGAGCTAAGTTCAAGTAACTGAATTTTCATAATAACTGATTTATTCATAATCGCAGTTTACTTGAGCTAAGTTCATTTTCTTAACCGAAAAATGTTGAAAAAATTAATGAAATTTAATTATTTTTTAATCGAAATGCGTATTTTTTATTTCATAATTATTTAGGTAAAATATTAAAAGTAAAACATTACTTATAATAATTTAATTAATGTTTTACTGAATTGATATGTAAAAAATATATGCTAAGTGTATTTTATTGACGGCGCACGAATGCAGGAAAATATAGTATTGACGGAGTCTAAACACTGTTTTCATATGGAAGGAGTCTAAATTTAACAATTTAGACTCTTGACCACTAGAAATGGTCTTAGACCATTTGGAGTGGTGCAAGAGTCCAAATGTCAAAAATGGACTCCGTCGATATGAAAACAATGTTTTGACTCCTATTCTCTGCATTCCAGCACCGTCAATAAAATACACTCTGCACAGTTTTTTACATATCAATTTAGTAAAACATTAATTAAATTATTATAAGTAATGTTTTCCTTTTAATTTTTTCTCTGATTAATCATAAAATAAAAAAGACACATTTCGATGTAAAAAAAAATAAATTTCATTATTTTTTTTTTTTACGTTTTTTCCTGAGTGATTTTCAACACATTAGAGCATTGGATTCTCTTCTCAACTTTGTGTCTATTCATAACACATTGCATATGTATATATATGTTGGAAAAATGTGTGAAAAATTGCATTAAATGGCTATTTTGGGGCAATTTTTTGAGTGGGGTCCACTTCCGATTTGGGTCGGGTGAGATTGGTTTCGGATTGTCCTTGTTAAGGGCTACAATTCGATACGTGGTACACTCAAAACGGATAACGGGTGAATGAGATATCGATTTTCGAAGTTTACCCGTTGAAATGGAGCAGCAGCCGGCTGCTCCAGCAGCCCACTGCCGGCAGGACAGTCCGCAGCAGCCTGCTGCCGGCAGGACAGTCCGCAGCAGTCTGCTGTCGGCAGGACAGTCCGCAGCAGCCTGCTGCTGAGACGTCTTCTGCAGCCTGCTGCTGAGACGTCTTCCGCAGCCTGCTGCTGAGACGTCTTCCGAAACACACCCAACAATATATATATATATATATATATATATATATATATATATATATATATATATTAGTTATATTAGTATATATATATATATATATATACTAATATAACTAATATATATATATATATATATAATATACTAACATAACTAATATATATATAATATACTAATAAAACTAATATATATTACGAATATATATATTATATATACTAATATTATACTAATATTATACGAATATATATAAATGCTTTAATTACATAGTTATATATACACTAAATATTATACGAATATATACTAATATACTCTAAAATATTAATATAGTTATATATATTTCAAAAATATATTAGTATATACTTTATGAATTAAAATCAAATAATAGAGTAGTTTAGAAATTACCAAATCGTCTAGGTTTGACCCACTCCTCAGAGTTGCGTTCGCTTTCCGCACACAACCTTTCCATTGAGAACATTGATTATTGATGATCTTGAAACGAGACTCAATTGCATCTCGAGTTCGAGGAATTTGACTTTGTGCCGAAAATATCTCGTGAATTCGGCCCCAGAAAGTCTCCCCCGGTTGATTTATTCCAATGGCACCATCTTCAGATATGGTGACCCAAGCATTACATAGAACAACATCCTCTTTAGCATTCCAATTAACACCCCTTTTTGAGGAAGACATAACAAAATTGTAGTGAAAAAATATGATGAAGAATGAGAGATATGGAAGATGTGTGATTAAAATAAGAAGGAATGAGGTGTTTATATAGGATTTTCGAGCAAAATATCAATTAAAAATAATAGAAAAATAAAATAAATTATTTCAACCGTTGGATTTAAATTTCAGCCGTTGGATCATTTTTTTTTCCCGTTCAAACAGTGTCAAGTTCATCACAACTGTTGGATCTACCAAATATTTTTTTATACAAACAATTGAGCCGTTGGTAGTGCATGGTGCCTCATGCTGACATCAACATGATGTCAGCGAGGCAAATAATTCCCCCTGGCAAGCCTTCTGCTCCCGTCTGCGCACAACAGGTATGCCCCCACTCCCCTTTTTCTTTTCTTTTCCATTTATTTTTTGACTGTCTAAAATTCCTCCAAACTTAACCCCTTCCCTCCCCAAACCCATTTTTAATACCCTCCACACTCAACCAATGTAAGAAATTAGGAGTCTAAAAATGCCATTTTAACATTTTAGACTCCTAATACCTCACCACTCCATTTGGTCTTATAGCCGTATTCTCCAGTAGCTTGCTCCAAAATTTGTCAACTCAATGAATTGGGGTGCTTAGGTGGTTGGACATGGCTGTCAAATGAATATGTCTGCAATTTCCAGCCGTAGGCCAATGGCCTAACCTACTTTAATTTAAGTTTGGCAAAATATTAGAGATAAATGTAAATAAAACCGGTATTCTTAAATCGGGTCTTTGGGTGGACTAGAATCAGTTATTGACAGGTTGGTTTTCCGTTTTCGGGCCCTCGGATCGGCCCACCCCCCTAACGTTTTGTGGCCACTTGGAAGCCGCCAGCCTGCGTCTGATAATAATACGGAGCATTTATGTATGATTCTCACTTTTCATTGGTTTTATTTTTATTTTATTTTAATTGATGACCACTTGAAAGTAGGGATGCATAAAAGATTCCATCTCTTAAAGATATTAATAAATAAATTCATCCCCTCCATTTCTTTTAAGGACATTAAGTTTCGGGCCACACATTAAAAAGTATTGCAATAATAATGTATTAGATGAATCCTGATCCACTCAGTTGTGTTTGGATACATTGGACCATATGTTAAAATCAATTGTCCATAATTTTCGAACTCATTTAAATTTTACATATTTGTTCATAGTACTACTATTTGTTTATATGGGTTGCTTGTACGTTGTACCATGGTTCAATAATTGATGGATTAATAGTACCCATTTCTTTTAAAAATTTAAATAATTTTAAACTTAAGTGCATGAATGGATGAGTTGTTTTTACTTTTTAGTGGACTCACATATCAAACAAGAAATTTCGAAACCATGGCCTCACAGTTGTAAACCATCCCTAATTATAGAATTTAAGATGTCAATTAGACAAGTTCTATCTCAGACTATATAAGATTATAGAATTTAAGATGTCAATAAGACAAATTATGTCTCAAACTAGACCAGACTTAAACAAATCAAACCAGACTTAAACAGACCAGATATGAATTTCTTAGTTACAAAATAGACAGAGACCAAACGTTTACCTGACCTGACCAGACTGGTTTAAATTAGACCAGACAAGACTTAAACAGACCAGATCGGACCAGCAAATTTCAATCCAAGTAAAAACATCCATATCAGGCTTCGACAATTGTAAAGTACACATAAATTAGACAGATAATGTCAGACTTAAAAAAACAGAACATACATATAGACTATATTAGATCAGAAAATTTCATTCTAAATAGAAACATTGTGGTTCCTTGAAATTTCTCGAAGTCCAATTAATAATAAAAATATTGTGGTTCCTTGAAGTTTTTCCATATTTACTTTTCTTAGTGAATAATAGTCAAGTTTGTTTAATATTTTTTTTTTATATATCATTGCCTAAAATATGAAATTTAATGTGAATGTCTTTGTTAAAAATACATTCACAAAATATAAAGCTTATGAGTTTCAAGCAATTACATTTTGGCATAATTTTTTCAATAATTTATTTAACTGACTTCTCGTTGAATGTTAAACTGAAATTTTATCGACATAATGTACACTTCATGAAGAATATGATTACAATTTCATTAAACATTTCCACTTGAAAGCCCCTCAAATAGTTCTCGAGAAAACTATACCAGGTTATCATTACTATATACATAGGGGGGCAAATCTTGTACAAAGTGGTCTTGTCGTGTAAAATTTTGTACGATGCATTTTTGCGCTATTTCTATTGCATATAGATACTCAAAGCGTTGCATATTATTTTGTGATAAAATAGTCAGTTGCATATTAAGGCTCAGAGTGTTGCATCTAAAAAAAGTTTGATTTTATTACCATAATGCCACTGTGCCTTTCAATCCTTTAGAACTTTCAAATGGTTGACCAAGATTACTTTGTATTTTTTTTAGATTACTTTGTATTTTGTAAATTAGGAACATTTTGTATTTGATCTTATATAAATGTATAAATAGAGAGAGTTTGGATTAAATAAAAAAGGTTTTGATGTATAAATAGAGAGAGTTTGGATCATAATAAAAAAGGTTTTAATGTATAAAATAAGGGTGAATCTTAGTCGTTCAAAGAGCGAATCTGATGCACAACAAACCTTATATGTTACACTTTTCCAAAATTTATAAAAATGTCATCGCGTCTAGATGTGGGAAAAGTGAAAGCGCATCAGATAAAGTTAATACAAAAAATGCATTAGATAAGGGTTATCATGCATGAGATTGACAGTTTAGATGACCGAGATTAATTCTTATTTTAAACGTTAAAGTTTCTTTTTATTTGAACGCCTCCCACACACATACCTAGACACATTATATATTTTTGGGTGCCTGAGAGGGTCATATCCAACAGTCATTCTCCTTTTGCCAAACTAACCATGCAAGTGCATTTTTCCTGCAGACCTGCTATTGAGTTCAAACTTCAAACCCATTGCATTTTCTCTAACCCGTCCCCATTATAACAACAACAATAATAATACGCAGTAACAAATAAAATCACACTAAGTATATGCAAATCCCTGATTAATTAACAATAATGATAATAACACGAATTTGAACAGTGGCCATCAAGGATAGATAAGCACACCAACATAACAATATGACTTATGCACTCCCTCCCTAATCACAAATGGGCTTAAATGTTGCTGAAAAGCAACAATGCCTACCAATGTGAAAAAATGGCAATAAAACGAGTAACAAAATTCTTTTACTACCACTTCTTTTGTCTGACCATCACCATCACTTCCTGTGAGAACCATGCAATGATCTTGGACAACCTTCAAACAGATCCTGCAAGTAATTTTCCAGATCATCAGCACTATACTTAATATACTTATCACTAACATTCGCAGCGTGCCTTCCCACAAATGTGCGATAACCCTGAATGACCGTTAGAGACGTTGTAATGATCAGGTCATCCCTAAGTTGACGGTCCGGGACCAACCATCCTGTCTGATTCTTATAAACCTCTTCAAACGCCAGATAAAAGCTTTGTAATCTCTCTTTCAGGAGAGTTCTGGAAACAGAATTAGATCCTGGGTTATGAATCCCTTCGTCGCGGATAAGATAGAGTACGGAGCTCCACGTGGCTCTCTCATAACTCCTCGCATGCTGTTGGAATTTCCCATTACACTTGCGAATCCAGTTATCCCCAAGGACTGTTCTTAACTCTGAAGTTTTCACCTTTTCTGCAATATAATGCAGATTGTTCATCAAGAAAAGGTGTTTGAGAGCTTCATCCTTGTATAGCTTTGACTTGGCATCTAAGTTGGATTCCAAAGTTGAAGTGAAGGATTGGAAGTTTATTGCCATTGGATCGTCTTCACTTGACGGCCTTGTTTCGGGCGAACCAGTGTCTTCTTTCTCTTCGTCCTTTAGAAGCCCGTTAAGGATTCGGCTGTAATCCATGAGGGCTCTCATGTAATTCATAACATACTTAGTGATATGGTGAACCCCACCACCGGGAAAGGCATTTGCTGATGTGTTGGACGCGACAGCATTTTCGAATTCTAGAAATGTGGATTTCGCACAATACCCCAAACTTCTCCGGACGTCCCGGCACTCCGCCCGAACAGACGACCCAGCATCATCAAAGTATAAGGTGTCAATCTCCGGGATAAGATCAGTGAGTACCTCGTACATGTCGAGAATCCGGATGAGCCTTTCGGGCTGTTTCGGGGCAATTGCGACTGCCTCTCCAAAATTTAGAAGCTGTAGGAGTGACGTCTTCGAGGACTCCGCGAAACAAACAGAACTAACCGATCCGAGCTCGCTGAAGATCTGGTCACCTAACCATTTCTCGCTGGCAAGGTATATGCGGACGAAGATCTTGAACGCCCGGACCCACCTCCTCATCTTGGAGTTCAATGCATTCCACTCCATCTTTTGCACATCCTCAATGCTCAACTTCTCCACTTCAAGGATGAAGAGGCAATCATCCAACGCGTCTTTTCGGACATTGATGAACGCCTGGCTGCATTCCCGGCCATAGTTCGAATCAAACATCAAATTTGCAATGCACTTCAGATCAGGGAGGACGTCCGGATGGACGAGTTCAATGATGTAATCCTCTGAGCTGCGGCTCATGCTATCTCTCTGGGGCCCATCATCGACCGACTCATCGCCGAATGAGATGGTAGAACTCCCGTCCACAATATCTTCTTCAGTTGAACGGAAAGACATATGCTCCGGCTCAAATGGAAGCCTGTTATTGACCAGCAAGTTCATGAACTCATCTTCAAGCCTGGCCATTGCTACCTGAAGAACATCATGAACTCTCCTTAGAAGATCAGACTCCCTGATGTCTTTCCCAAGGCACAAAGTCTCCAACTTCTCGGCGAGCTTCCTGGCTTCGTCCACGGATTTCAGATACCCGTATGCCTCTTCGGCCCCACAATCCCATAGCATAGAGGGGTTTCCTTCCCAGCTCATGATCTTAGCCTGCACGGAGTTAAGCTGTTCCTCAAACTCGGTCACCCAATCCTCCAGCCTTTGATCATCATCATCATCTTCGTTGTTTTCAGAGATTCTAGTTATGGAGGCCAATTGGGTGCCCAGATCTGCCAATTTCTTCCTGGCATCATCTGTCAAATTCCTCTTAGTCCCCAGCGTTTTGGCTATGTGCTGCAAAGCAGCAATCAAGTTTTCCTCCTCTTCCATTACTGGCTGACAATCACCCATACCATCAAAATTGTCCGGTAAATCCCTAAACTAACCCCCACCCAGAGCTAACAATTCAAGGCATATGCAAATTTTGGAGATGAACTAACAAGCTTAGAACACCAACCAGAAATATTCAAAATATCAAGAACAATACAGAATATGGAAAGAGGGGCGAATAACTGGAAAAGTCGCAAACCTAATGGCTCCACCACTTTCTCAGATTGGCAGTGAAATGA